TCGAAAAGTCTCCTTTACGAACTTCGTTACGTCCCTCGCCTTCGGCTCGGGCCGCAAACCTCTCGGTTCGCAAACAGAGACTTTTCAAACTCGTAGGAAAACTACCATTTCTTACCATGGGCCCAAAGTGCAACTGCCGCTTTGCTTCCTCGGGTCGCACTTTGCGCCCTTGTGATCACTTTGGGCTCACGGGCAGGAACGTTTTTTGCGTCCTTCAGGCCCGAAGAATTCTTCTGCCCTAGGGCCCAAAGTGATTTACTGGGCGCAAAGTGTGCCCACGGGCGCAAAATTGCACTTTGCGCCCTCGGTAAAAAAAACATTATACGTGACTCGGGCACCAACCTACAACAACCGCCCCCTTCGGGCGCTTATACTTTGTGCCCTAGTAACGTAATGTACCATACTTTTTATTGGAAATCCGTGTTGATAAACTTTAATTATAGTGTGCATTTGCTCCCAGAGAAACACAAACAAAAACAACAAATTTCGTAGACTTGGTTATCCAAGAGAATTTACAGTAATTAAAAAAGTGCATGTATTCTTATTCAGTCAAGTTAAATTTAAATAAGTCAATCCGTTTGAAAACCTAAATAACATTTCTAAAAATTTTGACATTACCACATATAACATACTCAAGAAAATTTTTGTATCAATACTAAGTTAATGTAATAAACCCTACGAAATACATCACAACCATTTATAAGAATTTACAATATTAACCTTTATTTATTTGCGACACATAAAAAACTATAAAAATTTCAATGTTATTTCTTTATACAACTCTCACTAAATAATTGTGTTGGTATGATAGCTTGTACTTTACATAAAAAAAGTATTAAATAACTAACGTTATTGGAACTCCATATTAAAACTCATCCATTATTGTAGTAGTCACTTTTTTGGCTCATTAAATTTGATCTTATTTAATAGGATTTAACAAGATTTTATCAATCACTGTCAACAACAGCTTCGAAAAAATCTGTTTCCTCCCCCTTTTTGCAAGATAACAAATTTTTTCGTGTTTCTGGATAAGTAAAAGAAAAAAACCGTATCCTGTAAATGTGCCATAAAGTTTACTTTCCTTAAAAAATAAATGCTCCTAAGTGTTAATTAAACGTAGAACTGCTCATGTATGAGTACCCACACGTATATGCTTACTAAATGCTGTTATAAAATCGACGTCTTTTTCTAAGAGCCTTAAATAAAGCATGTTGTATGTGTACCTCTTAAAGATCACTAATTTACGATGTATATAATATAACTATATTATGTTTACGTAAGTTTATATATAGAGGTATGTCTGACCCAAAAATTAAAATTCATTTCTGTAGTAAGAGAATTTATTAAGGGTCCCCCCTTGCCCCGTCGCCCACGCCATCAGTCCTCTACACACTTACCCTCACCCCTACCTATAACTTCTAACCGTGCCACGCTACTCTCCTGCATACCTTAGCCCACCATTCTCCTTCACACTCCAACGCAATTGATTTTTATACCAAGATTGATTTTATTTTCCCACNACACACCTTAGCCCACCATTCCCCTTCACACTTCCCAGCAATTAATTTTTAAACGAATTTTAATTTTATTTTCCCACAATAATTTTTGTTTCACTTTGGATTTTTTTTCTTTTACAATTCTTAAAAAAAAACACTTTCCAATAAAGAGATTCGAACCCTCGACCTCCTGCATGTGAATTGGGTACCTTATCCACTCTGCTACGAGCGCTGCCGATTATAAAATACAGTTTCTTGTACTTATCGTGTGGTTCGTAACTATAATATTTAATTTTCGTATGCATTCACTGATAATACATCCAATAAATGATACATTATTCATTTGTTTTCTAAATAATACATTTAAAAAACCAAAAATTTAATCAGCATAAATATGGTTATGTAGATTAAATTAAATAAGGCGCGTTATTACGCATTAAATATTTGTATTTTTTGCATTTAATGCATAAAATACCGACCGATTTTTTGAAACCTCATTTTTTTGGGCATTAAAATAATGCTAATAGTTACTGTTATAAACAAATCATTAAGATAAACATATACAATAGAGTTGAAGAACGTATCAATGGTTTTTAAAGGCGCTTATTTCGAATTCGACAAACAAATAACGTTACAATGTCACATAATTATATAGATATACAATAGAGTTGAAGAACGTATCAATGGTTTTTAAGGGCGCTTATTCCGAATCCGACAAACAAATTATGTTACAATGTCACATAATTATAAAAATATAGGAAATTACTGAATTAATAATAAATCAATTATGTAAGATCATTANAACTTCCGGCTGAGAAAGATTGATGGAGGCAAGAGACAGCCCAACTCTCCGACATTACTTAGGCAGTTATGCATGCTGAACAAGTCTAAAAAGTTATATAAAAAGGTACATAAGGCCTGTTTTCTACAGGCCATACCAAACGCAGGAGACTTATCCAACAAGCAGTATGGTTTTAGCAGAATATGCTCTAGTAAAGGAAAAAAAAAGGTAGTAAAAGCAGTTGAAAGCACTAGAGACACATGCCATGGACCTGATTGGCACTTAAACCCAATCTCTAGAACGTGTCATACGACAGACTGCCAGAGGAATGCCGACAGAAAATGCCAGAGGAGACGTTCTTGGTAGGATGAGCGAATTATGTTGCTGTAGGAATCGTTAAATGCACGACAGAACTTGTTCAGGTACGACTTAACCAGGTTATGCAGAGAGTGGCTTCATAAGTGGAGAATTACGCGCTCGAAGTTGCAACAAGTGAGACAAAAATGGTACTATTGACAAGTGAAAGAAAAGATACCATCATTCTTATTGAGGTGAAAAAAAAAAATAACAAAAAATGAAAAAAAAATCAGATAATCAAATGAAAAGAAGCAAACCAGGGGGTATAAATTGGTCATGGGACCCACGGTAAGAGCGAAGTTCTTTAAACATGACATGAGTACAAAGACATACAATTTCTCAGGTAACAAGGGGGTCACCAGACCCATAGGAAGAACGAGGCTATTTAAAATTAAGTACTGCATTCATGTAGTTCACTGAAACAAAAACTTGAAAAACGAATAAAAAAGTGAGAAAATTTTGTTCAGTACTTACCATAGTTGAACTTCGTGAGTACTGGGTCCCACAAACCACTTATGCCCCCTGGTTTGCTTCTTTTAATTTGTTTATTTGATTTTTTTTTCATTTTTTGTTTTTATAAATATTAATAAGGCGTTAGATATGTACACATACAAGTAGGGTTTTGCTTGGTTAAGTCTTAAATCTAATGGGACTTCTACATTAGGCCACATAAAATTTCGTATTGGATAAAAAAGCTTTTCCAAGATGGCCAGAACACAGATAGAAAGAAGAGTTTTAAGAGAATTCAAGAGTGTCTAATGATAAATAACATTTCAGAAGAGCATAGATATGATATCATAAGTAAAATTAACTCTTAATGATAGAAATATGAATGTTAGTAAGATTTGTTGTATAGCAGTAGTATCGTGGTAGCTTACGGCCCCTCCTCAGGAAGACATTAAATGTTTGAGAAGAACAACAGAGCTGTGATCTGGCAAGTTAGACTTAAGGATGGATCAGCTTAGTGTCCCAAGGCACTGCAAAAAAAATATCTAGATCACAAAGGTTTCAACAAGGCTCTTCTCAATACTTGCAATACTTATTGTAGACTTAACCAGAATGCCTGCATAAAAAATTGATTATCAGAACACGAAGGAAACTGGTAACTAAACTGTTAAAAACAGTGTATGTCAATACAGTAGGCCCTTATAAGATTAGTTACTTATCAAAAAGTACATTATTTTGTGGCAATATCTAAGGATGATTACATTAGACTCGCATACTTCGTAACATCTCAAGGGGAAGCAAGAAGTTGCCAATTCCTAGTTTTAAAGCTGAAAATAAATATAACTGAAAGAAAATGTATGCCTCAGTATCTGGCTTAGCTTTGGTAGAATGGGTCATCTCGATCATCAATAATCATGACCTGTATACTTTCCTACTTGATGTGAGAACTGCATTTTTAAATAATGCTATTAAAGTTGGGAGTAGCATGAAAGTTTTAAAAGTCTTACTTGACGAAGGTAAACTAACAAAGGATAGAGTTTTTAAGCTAAAAAAGCCTTAGAAGCCTTGCATCAGACCAAAAAGATGCAACTAGCATTCTGCTCTTGAACTAGGAATCCAGGGATACCTTGTCTTATTCCTGTACATGTAAATAAAAGTGAACATTTATAATTTTTAATACTGTATGTTGCTGACGTTATCAAACTAAAAATGTAAAATATCAGAAAAATTTGCAAGTTTCTAGGTATACAATAAAAAAAAAGTAAGTTTGATGGATTTTTTGTTTTGTTTGAATGTTGCATCAATCATAAAATAGTATTAAATTTGTATTTGTATTTGATGCTTTGTACTAGTTACGATACTTATATAGTTTCTCATTGCACTGTGCATCTGCGCAAGCTTTGTGTAGTTAACTATCTGCTTTATTTCTTTCCATTCTGTCTGAGAGCAAGTAAGCACTTTGAGCATACTGCGTTACTTTATATACAAGATTGTTTTCAGTAGTTTACAACTGTTGTACACTGTGAAAAGTAGTTAACGATATTGAAGAAAATATTTTACGATAATCAACTCAAGATTGCTTTGTTTTTTTGCCCATTACTACATAAGCATACATTTTATACTACAAGACTTGAAATAATGTTATTCAAAGGAATTGCTTATTTTTCACTTTAAAGCCACTTGATAAGAGTACTCTTTGTGCAGTTACATATTTTTGTTTTACATGTTTTAGGAAAAAGTAATATGTGCTGTAGTTTAAAGTCTTTTTTTTTAATTACGTTTTACTAATGTTAAGTAACACTCCAAGAAAATTAAAATCAGAAATATTCCAAGCACAGAAATATTATTAATAATCTCAGAATATTTATGAAGTCATTAATCTACCTTTCTAGTAACACATATACCTTCTGCACATTTAGGTGGATTTATGGAGAGTTTGGATAACTATTGGATATTACAAGGAAATTTACAGCAATGTGAACAATTTGAAAAGACCCCAAATACATTAGGATTGAAAAACATGGCTGGGGTTTTCATACTTGTTGGAGCAGGTATCATAGGAGGTATTATGCTTATTATCATAGAAATGGCTTACAAAAAGCACCAAATACAAAAACAAAAGAAAACGGACTTGGCTCGACATGCAGCTGACAAATGGAGAGGTACCATTGAGGTAATTCATAACCTTGAAAAGCTTTATTTTATACATACATATATACATTCATATGTACATACATACGTGGTGGGGCTTTGCTCCCTACAAGATCTATCCACCAACCTCTGTGGCCCTGTCACTAATAAAAATCGAACCGTTTCACTGCATCTATTAGATATACAAAACAGCTTTATTTTAATCCACTATCTTCTGTGTCGATAAGCAAACACTTTAAGAAGTTAAAGGATATTTCTAAGCTTTACGGGCTTTTAGTTTTTATTTTTGGGAGATTGAATATAAAAACCTCTGAGCCTATACAAATTACTGATTGTAATGGCAAAATTCGTAAACACCTACTTTATTGATCCCCATAGAATTCAACACGCCTAAATTAAAATGCTTAAAATAAATTGCGTACATTTTTAAGAGTATTATTCGTTGAAAAACTAAGTTTATACGACTTCGGTCCCTAATAAGAACACCATTTAAGTTTTAAGTGCAATTTTTTTTATTTCCCAGAGTACGTAAAAGTGTTGTTTACATGACTCACTCTATGATTTCATGCCACAAAAAAGTTATAAACTGTATGCTTTAAGGAGTCATCCAAACTGCAAACTATGTATATAATATAGAGTTTATATATGTATATAGATGTGTGTGTGTGACTGAGTGTGTATATGATTCTGCCAGAAGTGGCCAACTTTATGTCCAGAGGTTATGCTGCTACAAGAAACTAAAATTAAATGTTAAACTCGCGTGACGTTGTGCATAAAGGTCAAAGTGTCACTCCTATACCCTTTTCTGATTCTAATTTCCCACCTAAGAGCTCCTACTAACCTTTTTTGACATATTCTCGTCCACACAATGTCAAGTATAGATGTTGTGTGTTACATTTATAGCATCACATTACTAATTTTTAATCCATAAGCAAAAGCTTACTCAAATGCCTATTGTCTAACGATTTTTACTGAAATGATGGTTACACTAAAAATTACTTTGAAAATTACAATACTGTGTTTCGTAATACCTTTTAGTGATAACTATTGAAAGTGCACATCATAACAAGACAAATGCACAAGCCAAAGCTGTCAAAAAATTGAATCGATGAATACATATGCAAAAATTTTGGTCACCCCCCCGTCCCCAACAATCTTTTTTACATAAATAAGTCAAAAATTTTTTCTTGTATTACTTATTGATGACAGATGTTTTGTAAGCTACGAATTGCTTGTATAAAGTCTATGAGCCACAATAATACTCCAAAGCTTCAAATATTACTACTCTACCTGTCACTTATGTTCCCCTTAGTAGGTAACATGTCTTTTTTTTTTGCTTTCCTGCATCAGAACATTACGAAGCGTTTGTTTCAGTATGTTTTGAGTAAAACACTAGATAAGTGTCTTATTATTTGGTCCAATTAGCTTTTTTTTACAAAATACATCAATTAATATCCATTCTACTTCTAGCACTTACAGCGAAGGAATACACTATTTTGGGTGATCTTAAACATGCTTAAATAACTGTTGAAAAAAAGATTTATTGGTAATAAAAAAATTTTGTTGAATTTAGTGCTAATCGAAAGGTTCTCGATCGATCATTGGTCGACACACTAATAATGTTTTATTTTGGACAACACCACTTCCTAAATTCAACACCTAGACTAGGCCAGCTAGCTGCCATGTTTTCAAAAATATGTAAATACAATTGACCTCTACCCTCGGAGACCCTTTATCTTTTTTACAACTATGGATTCTATTCAGGGTTTTAGAATAATCGTGCCTGGAAAGCTTGTTTTTTTTCAAGAAGACCATTAAATAAGTAGCTAGAAATAATGCATGTTTATTTAAATTCTCTAAGCTCCAATGATAATTTTGGTAATGCAACAAGCTAAGTCAGAAAATAATGAAGCTTATTTTTTTTTTCTGTAAAATGAATGACCGATTCATAACTCAACTTAGGTAAATATATTACAGCTTTTTGTAGAACAATAATTTACGTACATATAATGGGTAGTAAATATACTCGAATAAAAGAGGTGGTTAATTTTTAAATAAATTTTGAATTCTCTGTAGAATTCAGAGCGGTTTCTTAAAAAAAATTCATGGATACTAAAAGCCTAATTATTACTCAAGACTATTTTTAATGCGCACGTAAAGCACAATTGATCGGGTCAAATTGGTATTGTTAAATTTAGTCGTACGGTTGCCTACATCGTAAGGCTGATGGTGTAAGAGATTCTGCATCTATCTAGTGGGCTAGTTGATATATATTTTTTTTTATTATCTGATTTGATAATTAAGTTTACGTTATCTCGAAAGTTCCATTAAAAATATAGCATTTATTAAAATGAAACGAATAGTACATTCATAGACAATTTTGATGCTCTTTTAATTGGTTCTAATGATATGTCAGTTTGTTTTTAAACATACATTCAAATAAAAACATTGCCTTTGTAAAAACGTAGATGTGCATCCTTGAGGCAACTGCCAACATAGCACAAATTAACAGCTGGACCAATAAAGTAGACATCATTATGGCAAAAAACAACTATTTTCTCAAAATTTACACCAGTAGAAGAGTAATGAGAGTAGAGATCTCAACCTTTACAGTACATCTGGCTAAAAAAAAGTTCAGTGCAAGCCCAGAAAAATTTAAAAACGATTGAAGAGATTCTCTTCCATTAACAGTAAAAGCAACAATTTTTTAAACGTTACATTCTTTTTTAAAAGTAAATTTGTAGCTTGATACATTTTCAGAGACCTATTCAAATTTGAATAACCGTAAGCTTTGATTTAAAAAAAAAAAGTATAATTGCACGGTCCCACTGGGGGTGAGAGGAGTGGCCAGTCATTGGTGGAGACCATACCTATTTTCACGCAATGCACTCTTGGCGTTTTTGACATGTCCCACTCTTTCCTACGGTATGTCCATCTCGACGGTACGTGCAATCTTGTCAAAGACCATACTGCTTGCAGCCTAGGTCGTGTGAGGGGACTTTGAACTGACAGGATTCGTCCTTTCATACACGTTTCTTAACTCTTCTAACATTTTACATAATCCTATGAATACTTACATACATTAACACTGACATACTTCTGTGGCATAATTGATTTGGACCGTTGGGGGGGGGGGACTGGCTGATGTCCTGTAACCACGTGATTGGGAAAGAGTAGGAGGTTAAACTTGTTGCGGTGACTGGAAAAGCTCAGGTAACTCTACTGCTAATAAGACTGGACGTTCGTAAAAAAAGATGTGGCAAACAGTTTAATTGAGGAATCTGGAAAACATGGGACTATATAAAAGAACCTTTTAGTGCATAATAGCTATTACTCTCTTACACAACCATGGATTGTGAGGTAATAGTTGTCTTGCCATGGCTCGTGGCCTGGGATAGACATGACACGGGAAAACTGCACACTTACACTAAGAATACCCTATCACCTAGCTTACTATTTTCAGGAAGTCTTTAAAAATAGTCAATAGCCAAAGGGCAGAAGGCTTGACATGTATGCCATACGGTGTTGAGCAGCCGAAGGGAGATCCTTAGCAGCAAGGCAATACCTTGATTTTTGGCCAAAGTGACCTAAACTGCCTTTGGCTCCTGTTAACTGCAAGATGGGAGGCTAAATTCCTAACAAGGTCTAGCCAATCAGCTAGAACTGCTGGGAAAACTGGAACTGTGATGGATTGTCTGCGCTGCTGTATCAGTCCTGTTGTCCTTGACTTGGAACCACCAGGATGGGTTGGCATAGAGCTAGGGTAACTTGCTCTGCTTCTGCTCTTGCCTGATTGGGTGGTTGCTGATTAGAAGTCATGGGGTTGCAGGCGTAGTGTGGATGGATCTTCCTTGTTTTGGGCTTTCCACATTGAGGTGAGTTCGCTCTACCATATGATGTTTGTCAGAAACTCTCCAGAGGAACGACTGCTTCTTGGTTGGAGCGTAAAGCTTGACGGAGTAGAGGTAGACTAGTGTGGCAGGGCGTGCTATATCCTCCAGTTACCTAATCGCTACCCCTCAGACGTGTGTTAGAAGTGGCAACGACAGCCTTCATAGCTAAGGGACTTAGATGGGTCAGTCGGGATCCTAAAATGAATTAAATTGTTGTAGGCATGGACAGTAACGCACCAACCATGAGGAGAAAGAAGGAAGTATAAAAAGAGGAATGAAATAATTCTGTTCTAGAGTCACTTATGTGTGGCTCCACTGGAGTAACTGAGTCGAGCAAAAATGCCAAGCTTGATGGGAATCCAGAAAATGCGTTTGGTGCTCTTGTCGAGGCGATCACAGAACTAAGGGAACTTGTAGTGAATTACTTTAACATGACAAATACCATAAAGGAAGACGTCATGCTAAAGGCGGTTGCCATACATATCTTAAAGCGGTCTCAGGCATCGCTTAAGGAGGCTGAAAACCTTCTTTGCAGACTGTAGTAGCAAAATAGTTAAAAAGAAATCGAGAGCGAGAGTGAGAAACCCAAACTCAAATTAGAACGCTTATAAATTTTCCAAAAAAAACAGAAGGCTTGACGCTTAGCCATACCTAGAAGAAAGGAGAGTACAACTGACATGCAGGTCAAAGAGCAAAAAAGGAAAAAAGAGGATAAACAAAGCCCTTAAAAACTAAAGTTAAACCCTTCATGGTCACCAAGGAGAGGCATTGATGGGCCAGGGCCGTGGCGATTCTGGTAAGACAAACTTAGGGAAGTAAGTATGCCAAGATTCTGGCCCTCATAGAAAAGGTTGAAGTGACTGAGCTTGAGGCGGGCGTGGGACTAGTCAAGGAGACAAGAGCAGGTGCTGTTCTCGTTAAACTGAAAAACGCTACCTCCAAGTGCGTTACTATAATTCGTTTACTGAGGCCCTTAAGAGTGCTATGGTGGATCCTCACAGCGTCAGAACACTCACTATCGGCCTAACCGGGGAGATTAGGAACGTTGATCCTACGGTGACAAGGCAGGATGTTGAGGCGACTCTTAGAAGTAGCTTTGATGAAGGAAGGGCCGCTGCTGTGGCTGTGCGGCTTTCCTCTGGCATGCTTAGGGAAAAACAAATCCTCTATGTTGAGGCACCTGTGTTGGCGTCCACTATCCTTTATAAAAAGAAACCATATAAAACTGGGCTGGGTAAGCTGCAGGATTCATCTGAAGTCCAGAGCTGAAAGCTGTGGCAGGTGCCTGGGCTTTGGCCACATTGCAAAGCACTATGATGGACACGATAGGATCGGGGTGCGCTGAAAGTGTGGTTAAAGGAGCGATGTGGCACGTGACTGCTTTGAGAAAAAAGTCAGTTTTTACTTGTGCGAGAGCGTGGTGTCAAGGCTAGACATCAATCACATTGCTGGGACTGCTGGATGTCAGGTGTTTCAGGCACCAGAGTAGCTTCTCGGAAGTGCTGCTGATCCTCTAGGTAAGCCTTGACAGGACCAAGCTCGTGCACAATTTTTTGGATCAGATCTTACTTGCCCAGGATGTAAACTTGCTTTTTATAAATGAGCCGTTCCTCTGGCCACTGACTTGGAGCTAATAGAGGCACAGAACCTAGTATGTGGCCATCCTGAACCACAACGTCAGGTTCTGTGTATCCAATACTGGAGTTAGAAAGAGGTTCGTATGAATTAGGCGTAGATGCGTAACCTACGTAAGTTGTTAAATATCTCCCAACATTGCAGAAGGCATCTTTAAAGAACTACTCGATGAACTCAGAGATGCTGTTTGCATGCATGACGAGAGTAGTGATGCAGTTCTGGCCAGTGACTTAAACTCCAACACTATTACTGGGGAGGAGCTGAGAACTGACTCCAGAGGGTAAGCAATGATAGATATGGCTGATATGTTTGCTTCATGACACGAAGCTTAGTCGAAATATGTTGTGGAAGGCCATGGTGAGTGCATACCCTTCTGCTGATTTGAACAAGATTACAAATTTAGTGGAGGGCAAGGCTGTCATGAGTGGCACATGTCAAGGAATGCTATGATGTGTGTATGCCCAAAAGGTCTGCCAGATGAGATTGACATTTGTGCTACTGGTGGACGAAAGAGATTACTGAACTACGGGGAGAGGCGTGGTACCAACGGCGTTTTTCCATAAAACTGTTGAAAATGCCAAAGTGGCCGCTGGCTGGTCAGGACCTGTGCCTTTTTCTTCGCACAGTACTCACACGAAATAAGATAAGGTAAACGGCCCAGTTTAACTAACGATGTTTTGAGTAAATTTCACATTGAAATTTATCACGAGGAATATAAGCATACTACACAAAAAAAAAATTTGTTAGTTTCTTATATGTATCTAGAATGAAAACAAAATTTTATACTAGCTATTAC